CTCCCCCCACCCCCGCCCCGCCTCCTCGCCAACCGCCTTCCCCTCCCTCCTCCTTCCTCCTCCTCCGCCCACTCACCGCCACTACGGACGCCTTCGCCTCCTTCTACTCCTCGCGCCGCCGCCTGCCACCGCTCCTCGCGCTCTCCTTCGGCTTCCATCAGCTCATCGCTCCCCGCCTCGCCCGGCTGCTGCAGTCAATCTCTCTCTCTCTCCCTCTCTCCCTCTCTCCCTCTCTCTCCCTGTCTCTCTCTCTCTCTCCCTCTTTTTTCTCTCTCTCTCAAGTTTCCTATCTCTTCGAGATCAGGGCAAAGGGAGGAAAACACCCAGTTCTGCTTGCTGTTTCTGGTAAGGTCGCACGCGTTGGTCCCAGCTGGGACCATGACTTCCCCATTTACCTTTGCCTCCCGTGCATGCCTCATCTCCCCCCGCCCGACTCTCAGATGCTCGCTGGCAACCGAGGAGGCTCGGGTCGCCCCCTCCTCCCCAGAACATTTAAAAAACAATTTCGATACTCTTCACCAGAAGCGTATTTGCAACTACAATAAAACCCGAGACGCCCGCCCGGCCGGGCAGCACGTTAGCCTGGCTTTTTTATAGTCTCCAACTTTGCACTCGGTGATCGCCGCTGCCTGCCTGCCTCTCCTGGATCCCGGAGCCTCACGCTCCTGCTCGGATTGTGATCCTCGGCTCCGGAACAGCTGTCAAACGCGTCGTTTCGCAGCAGTTAATCCGAACCCGTCTGCCTCCAAGACGTGGTCTTGGGCAACTGTGGATGGGCAGTGAGGGAGGTTATTTTATTTATTTTATTTTAATTTATTTTAAAGAGAGTGAAGTAGTGAAGACGTGAGGACTGCAGTTCATTGTAATGAAAGAATAATAATCGAAAAAAGTGGGCTGGCTTCCCTTTGCTTTTCTCGCTGTGGATGCGGGGGTGGTCTTGGTGGAGGGGACTGTGGCACGAAGTACCCATCTCTCCTCCCCTTTTTCGGTCTCCCCTCCAAACCATTCTATTCTCTAGCTCAGGGTCCCGTGTGTTATTATTACGTGTGTGTGCACAAAACAGTGTTTGCTTACGATGGGGCTGGGGGAAGTTCCTGGCAGAACAAAGTCTGATTATTTGGTCGTCTTTCTTCCCAGAGAAGAAAAGAAAGAAAAGAAAAAAAAAATCCTTGGGTCATCACAGCCTACACTCACTCCGCTGGAATAATCTCCATATGCTTTAACTCCAATTCCCAGTGGAAATGTTATTCTTTGGGGCCATTTGGTTGGTGAGACTGAATGTAATTTTAAGTCTGTTTTGTTTTTCTTCCAAGACTTTACAAAGAGTGGCGATGAAGACGAAACTGAACGTCCACAGCATGCAGTTGCTGCTTCTTGTTTTCTTGGTGTGGGACCCAGCCAGGTGAGACATTATTTACTGTTTTTGACATTTTAAATTCAGGGTAAAGGTGTATTTCTCGAATGCCATCAAAACAGAGGTGGCTTTTTGCGAATCTGAAGTATTCTGAAGGATCATTTCTCTTGAAAAAAGGTTGTGCCAGAAAACTGAACTATAAAGTGCAGACAAGTAAAAGTTCACTGCTTCTTGTTTTTAGTTATAAAAGACAAAAATGAATAGAAACATTTAAGAAAAAAAGAAAAGAAAAAAGAAAGAAAGAAAGAAAGAAAGAAAGAAAGAAAGAAAGACCACCAAAGAAAAGAATATCCTTTGAATGACATATTCTTGCAAGGAACTGAAGTGGTTAAGTTATGAGCCACTGTACTAACATTAAAATTCAGTAAAGAAGCCAACTGTTTTCCTTTCAGCCAAAGAGAAAAGCACAAACTAAAATGATTTGAGTGTTAACTTCTTTTCTTTTTTCTTTCTTTTTGGTTTTCTTGCTTCCTTCCTTTTTTTGCTTAAGTGGTCTTGGCTCTTTCAGTCAATATAGAAAAACCAAATGATGTGTGAGTCTCAAACCTCTAGGTGGAGGTAGTATACAACTTCACAATCACAAACAATAAAACAAAAGCTTGATTTATTAATCAACTTTTCATATTATTGATTTAGAGATTTTTTTATTCCTAAAATTGTCCTGTCATAAAAAGTACTTATTTTGCAAATGTAACCAATTTTATTTTGCTTATATTCTACAAACATGAAATTGAAGTTCTATTGCTTTCAATAACTTCATCTTAATTGTAGTCTTTTCTGATTTTTATCATCAGATAATAAAAGTCAGAAAAGTGGCCATCTTTTATTTACTGCCTAAATGTAGGCTATGGTTTTCAAAATACCAGAAGACTTAAAATGTAAAATTCTTAAGAATGTCCATGTAACCATTCCTTTAAAAAAAAGAACAGTTAGTCTCTATGATTTTGTAATGCCTTTATTTCCATTTGAAATTTTTATTTTCCTGTCTGAGTAATTGTCAAAGTATGAAAATACTTTCTAGAATTGAGGGATCTGTTTATAAAGCCTTGTTTTTAATTGGAAAGTATCTCTTCATTTAAAATCTTAGTATTGACTTTAGAAAGCAAATGTGGTATGTGATTAAAAAACACTTTCCCATGAAAAATCCCTAAGTGGAAGTTTATGACTATCTTAGGGACTGTTTTTAAAATTAGCTTAAGGCAATATAAAAACTTTTGAGGCTTGAAGGTATGAAATAATTTGCTTACATAATTTAAAAATGTTTATATCAGTATTTTAATATTTTCTTTTCTATCAAGAGAGTATTTGAAGTTGGTTACCAATTTTTTTATGTATTACTGCTATTTTTAACTACTAGCTGTGTAATCATTTAAATGCAAATGAATTCTGTCACTGATATTTCACACAATACACCTTGATCAGAATGCAATTACATGTAATCTTTGATTTTAAAGGAGTAAGTAAACTGTGGCTAGTTAATAATCACTGGAAGTCCTCAGTCCTTATCCATATTTCCGTCTACTAGTTTTCTGTTCTATATTTGACCTGTAATGTTCATGCCAGTATTTTATTCTATTATATAAACGATTCTTTTTTGGGGCCAGTAATTTAAATCTCTGAATCATTCTGGGTATGAAAAAAAAAAAGGCAGTGAAAAGGGACATTCTGTTTTATACATCCAGTTGCTTCTGCACCAAATGTCACAAAATCAGGTCTCTGGCTTTCTGATGGAGAAATAATGGAGAAAATCACTGTTGCTAACCCTTTTCCGGTGATATTTTAAGACCATTTATTCTTTCCGCAAATTTATCTCACGTGCACACACACACACATGCACATACAAAGTAGCTAAGCATTTTAATCTTTGGATGACCTCTGTCACTTTCCTCAGAGACCAGTCAGGAGGGGTCCTCCTCCAAGGCTCTCTGGAGCTGTGTGTGTGCTGCTGATCCTCCCAGAGCCCACCTCCACCTCCTGGCTACATTGGAGCCTGGCACACAGCCAGCGGAGTTTCCCTGATGTCTATATTGCACTTGGCCATTGGGTGGAGGTATACCCAAAGTAAGGAAATCATCTTGCTTTAAAAGAGAAAAAGACATAAAAAGAAAAGACATTTATGAGGAAGGAAGAGAAATTTTGTGCCTCCAAGGAGGCAGTTCATTTTCCAATTAATATTCAAATCACTGAAGAATTATGTCAGGGGTCCCTTTGGTTTTTGTACCTTTCTAAATGCAGAGTAACATCACTAATACTGTCTGCATGTGATACTCTACAATCATAATATATTCTAGGGAGTGGATTTTAGAAAAAATGACTAGTTCACACAGAATGCTATGTGTTAGAAATCTGAAATAATTTTGACATCAAACTTTCTGATAATCTAGTATTTACTATCCATTTCCAACAGCATGTTTACCTTTCCCACAAGCAGACTGGTATTTATAGAAGTGGAAAAAAAAAAAGGAGGAAAACGGATGGCACTGATAGCTTAGGGAGCCTTAAAATTCAAATCAAGGAAGAAGAGCATGTTAGCGCTTGCAAAACACACATATGTATATATATCAGCTTGTAAAATTATCTGTTTAGGTTGGTGCTGGCTAACATCCAAGAAGATGAGGCTAAAAATAACATTACCATCTTTACAAGAATTCTAGACAGACTTCTGGATGGTTACGATAATCGGCTTAGACCAGGACTGGGAGGTAAAAATAGTTTTCTTTTTTTTGAACTCTGACAAAATAATGCCTTTAAAAGTTAAGGGTAATATTTATATTTTAATAGGTTTTTAATATATGAATGTATTGCCCCATACTAAACAAACATAGATAATAAAAAATAAGGTATATGAAATAAACATTATTTCTGATTTCTTTTATACATACACAATGTATTTAACATATGTTTTATAGAAGTCATATAGAGCCCAGACTTTGTGCATGAAGAGTTTTTAAATTAGTTTTATTCATAATGGCTAAGTTTTTCAAACTTAGAGTATGTGAAAGTGTAATGTTATTGGGCAGATGCGTTTGTGCAGTATCTCCAGTTTCCCTCACTGAATTTTACAGATGCCTACTTTCATATTGGTACAGATATGGAGATATGAAGAACATAAAAAAATGATGAAAGACTATCTGGGTTGTATTTCAGGAAATACACTTATTATTCTGTGATGATATTTCTTGACGCATGCATGTGACGTTTCTAAAATACAGCACAGGTCTGACATTCTTGAAACTTCCAAAGGCGTTTTAGATATCCTTTAGCTGTAGGCCTAACTTTGTTGGGCTGTGGCACAGTTTGATTTCGAACTTAAACATCTATTTTCAGCTCAGAGAAACAAATCTGTTTTTATCCATAGAGGTGAAAGAAATTAAGCTTGGCTAACATGTTAAATTTTAATTGTCCTTCAGCATAGTTGGCTGATGCTAAGGGAATTAGGTAAAAGTAGGGTAGGTGTGTAATTCCTAAAATGATTCTAGTCAAATTATTGTTATTCAACAATTCTGACATGTGTATATGCAGACATATATATATTATCATTTATATAACATTTATCATATATATTATATTTATTAGGATGTTCAGATTAATTAATAATTCAAAATTAAGACAAATTATTTGAACACTTGATACTGATAAAAGATTTGTATAATTATTCTGATTATCACCAGGTTGGCAACTTTGCAATATTAAGTTGCTTGAAAAGATGTGTATTGACTAAATGCCTGGATGTTTATGTAAATACTGTCTTTGAAAAATATAGGTTGTTGTTAATTCTATACATATATTTGGCAGTTGTGTGGTTTGCATTGCTCAGGAGCTGGAAAAGGTCAGGAAAGACCCAACTTGTTTTTAAATAATATGCCATTTAATTGCTGTTAGTTTTTGTCTTGAATCCTGAGTGGTACGTCGTATTGGAAAAGAGAAGTGCTAGGGAGGAATGATGTTCAGCAATATGACACATGGTATCTCTCAGGGAGAGCTCAGTTGTTTCACGTACAGTTAGTTTAGTAAAAGGAAAAGAAAAGAATGTTTCCTTAGTCATGGAAACATGTTGAATGACCATGAATATAAGGAATTACTGTCCACGTCAGCCTGTACAGCAAGGAGCTCATGTCAAACTCATGCAGTAGACAAATGCCCAGCATAAGGCTGTTATAGTTCATGATGGTGGTTTGAGAGGTAGACTGCACTAAAGCAGATTTTTTCCCAAGGCATAGATTTTATCACTTTTAAATAAATCATATGCTGTCAAAACCTTAAAATATTTGAGCTAGGTCTTGGATTTTTGTCTCTGAGTTTCCAGGAGCAATATTTACACCATGGGCGTCTAGTCGGGAAGTAAAAACTACTTGTTGCAGGTCATGGGTATCACCATTTACTGCTTCATATTTCTTTTGTAAAATCTCTTCTATTCTCTTCACCTCCCTTGTCGGCATTCACATATAGATTCTTGTCACTGTGTTATTTAGGTTAATGCATTTGACTCAGTGGCTTTTCTTGCTTGGTGTGTTCCTTCCTCAATCCTTCCCTGACATTGGACATATGCTAGTATCTCACAGTCAGATTAGCCTTCTTTTGGTTGATGCTTTTCATGTGTCATTCTCTTCTCTTGATCAAATACCCTCAGAGGTTCCCCACTGCTGTTGGTAGACAGCAATGAGGGGGCAGTGGAAAGAATATAGGCCTTGCGTGCAGATAGATCTAGATGAGAAATTCTGCTCCATCTACATACCCAAAATTGTGCCTTGGCCAGGGGATCTGTTTACTTTCATTTAAAATGGCCATGATGTATTTAACGTCCTACCTTACAGGGTTGTTGAAAGGATCATAGAAACAAAAGTGTACACAAAGCAGGTCCCACATACTGTCAGTTAAACAAAATCAATTCCTTTCCTCCTCCTGTAAATTCCTAATTTGACAATCAAAAGTTTTTACAGTTTACTTCTCTGCTTCATTTTCCCTTTGCCATCCGTCCATCCTGCACTTCAAAGTCATCTCTTCATTTTCTCATGAGAATCCATCTGCTCCATTGGCCTTTGATCATGTTATCCACACTCACTAGAATTATTTTTCCTTATCCTCTCTGCTGATCTAAACCCCAGTTTTCCTGTGAAGACCACCTCAGCATGGGTCCTTTTAGTAACAATCTTTCTTAACTGAATTGAAACGCCCAGATTCAATTTTCTCTCTGTTGAATTTCTTTAGCGGTTGTTGGCTCTGGATTGCATGTGGTACTTATTATTTGCTACCTTGGATTATTTATTACCTTTTTATGTGTCTCTTGTTACCTGAACAAGATTGTGAGCTTATTGAGGCAAGATATTGTATCATGAATCTTCTGCGCTCTCAGTAACTAAATATTGATTTGCATATGGCGGCCATAAAATAAAGGTTGATTGCTTGATTAACTTTTCTACGACCAGTTAATCATCTGGAAAATGGGGCTACTCAGATCTGGCTGATCTTTTAGATGGGAATGTTGAGGTGATATGTTGAGCATCGTGCAGCAGAAAGACACCGTGGCTTAGTGGAGAGAACCTAACTTTAGACTGCAGAGATTTAGCTTAAATCCCAGCTTTAGAGTCCTGTGACCTTAACAATACTTAGCCTCTCTGGGGCCACATTTGTCATCTATAAAGTGGGATTACTATTAGTATTCTTAGGGTTTTTGATGAGTATTAAAAACTGATATATGCAAAGGATTTAGCAAAGTGACATATAGTAGAGAATTAATATAGAACAATAACTAGAAGCCCTTGAAAATTTTCATAAATATACTCTGGTACATTTCTGTAATTATTATGATTATTTCCATGTCCAAAATTCTTAGCCTGGATGTTCATATGTCATTTCAAATAGAAAGTTCAAGGAAATTATTTGTATCATTATGTCCCAGAAATTAATAATAAGGGAAAAATTGAGTTTGATTCAATTTTAATATATCAAACTGAACATCTCTATTGATGGGTAATCTGGATAATTAATCTCAATTATTACTTTTTTCCTTTGTAACTTTAATATAAATGAGTGTATAAGGAAGAGCAATCAGTTTTAGATTGAGTGAGAAAAATTGTTCTTTTCACCTAGCTCTACAACTTACTAGATCTCATCCTAGACAAACTACTTAGACATGCTGAGCCTTGGAGTTTTCTTGGGGAAAATAGGCTCGCTAGTATTTTATTCTGAGAGGAGGAGGGAAATTGGGATTCATATACACAGCAAAGATTATACACTACATTGAGTGATAGGATTTAGGTGTTTAATGATTGTGGGTTCTCTTTTTTTTCTTCCAGTTTTATTGAGATATAATTGACATTTAGCAGTCTATATATTTGTGGTATACAGAACAATGGGTCCTCTTTTAACTATGGGTCTGATCACATCACTCAACAGAGCAAAATCCTGCAATGGTTTCTACTTCAATCAAAAGACAAAATAGATTTCTTTCTGTGGCTTCCAAGGCCCTGCATGATCTGTCTTCCTGTCCTTTCTTTGGCTTCACATCATACAACTCTCCTTGCTAAGCCTGCTGCGGTCACACCGGCTTCCTTCCTAACACACCAGGATATTCCTTGGAGCTTTTTCCCTGACTGTTCCCCCTTCCCTGGATATTCGTTGATTGCACCTTCTCAGTGAGGCCTACCCTGACCAGTCAAATAAACACTGCAGGTGTCTGCTCGTTAGCAAGTCTCATCGCTCCCTCACCCCCACTTCTGATTCTTCCCTTACACCCATGACCAGTTTTTCTTCTGTTTCTTAGCACTCAATATTTTAGTATACAAGATAATAGTGTTTTATTATCAGTACGTCAGTTGCTTATTTTTGTCTCTTTGGTAGAACATAGGCTCACTGAGGTTAGGGATTTTTGCCTGTTTTGTTGTTTGATTCCCAAGCATCTAGAACTGTGCCTGGCACATAGTAAGCATGCAATTAAATGTTTGTTGAATGAATTTTAATTTTATTCATTTATTTCATTTTTTTTGCAAAATAAAATATATTTTATTTTTGGAAACAAATATGTGTTTGTCTCAGTAAGAAAGCACAACTGTGTGAACATCCCCTAACCATGTCTGCCATCTAGCTCCTGTTTTCCTTTCTCGAAGCATATTCTGCTTATGTGTTCTGGGTTTTTATTTTATGTTTAATTTTTTTTAAATATTGCTTTTTATTTTTTTGTTTCTTAATTTTTTTGTGTATATATTTTTATTGAAATATAGTCAGTTTACAATGCTGTGCCATTCTGGTGTACAGCATAATGCTTCAGTAATACATGAACGTACAGATATTCATTTTCATATTCTTTTTCATTATAAGTTACTACAAGATATTGAATATAGTTCCCTGTGCTATACAACACATATAAAAGATTATACATCATTTTTTTTTCTTAATATGCTACCATGATGAAAAGACTCAACTAGAGAACTTACCTTATCCTTAAAATCATCGAAGCAATTATCATTTAATTATCATACTGGCCTTTCACTCTTAGCATCAGAATATTTTAAGCTGACTTTTCACTGAATGGAAAACAACTATTACACCAGTTATTCAAACTCTTGACTTACGTCAGCTGTGATTCTGCCCTGAACTAACTGTGATTTTGGGTGATTCATTAGTCCTGTCTGCGACTTAATTTACTCATCTGTGAAATCGGAGGAGAGATTCTACTTACTCTGTTTATCTCTCAAGGATATCG